AGCAATAGGTCCGAGAGGATTATTTACCTGTGATGGAGAGCCTCAAGAGCCAGCCTGGGGAGAGAGAAGAGTGGAGATAACTTGTTGAGTAGTAGAGTGACATCAACTAGAAGTTGTAGGAATTGAGTAAAGTGCAGAGGAAGGTAAGATAATAGAATCAGTAGAGTCATCGGTTGGTGCTTTGACCTTAACCAAATGTTTTCGTGTAAAGGTAGAGAGAAACTTGGAGAAGGTTTGGCGTGAGAGACATAGATCAGGATGTGACGTAGATTTGTAGGAAAAGGTGTTCGAAGAATACAACGTGCCTAGAGACAAAGAGGCATTTAGAGTGAGTGTCAAAACAAAGAAAAGCATGATAAGAAAGTGAAAAATCGAGATACACGCATGGTCAAGAGTGGGGTTTGAGTTTATAGGTGTTGTATGTGTAAGTATTATACCCTAAGTCCAATCAACTTTGGACATAAATACTTTTGATATATAATTAATGCAATTTAATGGTGGATCTATTATTTAATTAATAGACAATTAAATAAATAATAGAGTCCGTAAATTCAAATTTTGGTAATTTGTTAATCACAAGGAGTTGTGATTGTGAGATACAAATTATATATGATTGAATCTTAAATCATCTGTGGTCGTAAGTAATAACGAGATACGGATATCGTTATTACGGATAGACCATCACGTATGGAATTCCTTACTTGTGAAGTAAGTAGCTGATCTCACAAGTTAAAGTGTGGTGACACTTAAATGAACACGTGGATGTTTTGTTATAGAACAAAACATTGGAGACCCACCGAGAGATTCCACATGGATAACTATCTGAGTGTCAGTGGTTAATTTCTAACATTCGGTAGTGGAATTGGTCCTTTGACTTGAGGTCGTCATGGTACCTTATATGAGGACAATCATACTTTGGCATTGTTGGATGTTGCTCTGCAAAGGGCCGCTAATACGACATCGTTCGGGTACGTCAAGAATCATATGAAGGTTGTGATTGACCAATAAAGGATTCGTCACTCTTAGATAGTAGGAAATTATGATCTGCGTTTCATTCAATCAAGTCGATGATGAAATCCCTGGCCAAGGTGTACTCACAAGTCGAAAATGAGTTTTCGACTTATATTGACTTAATAGTGGAGTGAAAGATATGATTGATAATCGAGATTGACACACTTTCATATCTCGTAATTGATCGGATCATATAGATGAAGAGATTATAGTTTCACGGTAAACGAACGAGTTTGATTTTGTCATATCACGTGACATTTTCCGTCACATGTATTGCCCTGACACATTGCTAGATGTCAATCTGGGACGGCGAGTGTGAATTGACGATAAATTAAAAATGGTGTTTTAATTTATCAATTTTGATTAGATCAAAATAATATTTTACTTCGTTAGGTATCGTGATCGGGAACCTGATGAGTCGCACACAAAAGAGAATTGGAAGATTGTAATTTGTCAATTAATTAATTTAATAATCGTTGGATAAATTAATTAATTGGTTTGTTTATTTATAGGCCCGAATTAATTAATTCACGGACCGAATTTAATTAAATGAATTAATTAAATATTGGACCGGACCGGGTCGGGCCAGGCCTGTTTGGGCTTATATAAATGCGTGGCTAAGGTTTTCAATTCATATAGTTTTCATTATTCTTGTTGGCACAAGAGGAAAAACCTTAGTAGCTGCAATCTTATTCTCTGTGTGGATCACCGTTGGAGGCTGGACAATTGGACAGCTGTGGGTGGCGAATCAAGATTGCTAGAACGAAAAGAATAGCAAAGAAGTTTGCAGATCAGGAAAAGGTATAATCTTATCACAATTTCTATCTAAATACAAAGGAATCCTCGGTGGAAATCGAAATAATTTTAATTTTCCGCTATGCATGTATAAGTAGATTCCCAACAGTATGGTCGAAGCCAAGGATAACATAGGCAACCAAAGACTCGAAGGGAAGTGTATTTGGGTTCGTGACCGAATAACTTGTGACACGGTGTATCATTGTGGAGAACGGGAGTGGGCATGTGGTTAATGAGGTAGGTGGCGCTTTGGAAGGCATAAGACCAAAAATGTAGAGGTATGGCTGCATTGTGGAGAAGTGCTAGGCCAGTTTCTACAATACGTATTCAGCGGAGCTAACATGTTTGGGTATATAAGGTGGAGATGTGAGATGTTGAATACCACATTGCGATAGAAGGTGAGAAAGTGCTTTGTACTCACCACCACCATCTGTGTATAGGGTTTTTAGTGTAGTATGAAAGAAATTTTCAATTGGCTATTTAAATCTCTCAAAAACAGTAATTACATCATATTTTGGCTTCAGTGGATACGACCATGTGTATATTGAGAAATAATCAATAAAGACAACATAATATCTAAAATTTCCCAAAAAAGGTGCAGGTGTAGGGCCCCAAATATCATAATAGATAAATAGAATTGGTTTATCACAGCTAATAGAAGAATTTTTAAATGACAGTTTATGACTTTCGTTACAAAGACAAGAGTCACAGACTTTATTTGTAGATAATTTGGAACAAGGATTTCATTACTAGCAAATATTTTCTTCTGGATTGGAAGAAAGGGATGACCAAGACGCTGATGCCATTGTTGAAAGGAGAGAGCAACGGAAGCGGAAAGAACGAGTATTGAATTCTTGGTAGGTCAAGTTGTGGATGACCATTCATACAAGTTGTGCCTACTCTGGCCTTTAGCCCAGGATGCCTCCGTATTCAAATCCTTTACAAGAAAATAGTTAGGAAAGAATTCAATAGAGGTATTATTTTATTTGCAATATTGAGAGACATAAATAAGGTTATTTGATATCAAGGGTGCACACAAAACATTATCTAGTGTAACGAAGGCAATAGGGGTATCAATCGAAGAGGAATCAACATGAAAGATAGAGATTCCTTTACCATTACCGACTACAACATCCTCGTTACCAACATAATCTAAGTGCATGGAAAGATTCTATAGGTCAGAGGTCACATGATTTGTAGCACCCGAATCAAGTATCCAATTGTTGTTGGTGTGGTTTGATGGTCCTTCAGTTAAATTTGCTTGAGGCCAAGAGAAGTAGGAAGATGGCTGTCCACTAGGGCGACAGGCTTTTGCACTATGTCCCGATTTATCACATAGTTGACAAACAATGCGAGGCTGGCCCTGATTTCTTAGTTGCTGATTAGAATTCCATTGAGGGGAGTATGATGGAAAATTCGAATAGTATATACCTCTGCAATAGGGAGGCTGTTGCCGATTGAATGTCACGTGGTTAGATTGAGAATCTTGTCCACTCATGTTGCTATCAAAACAGTATGTAGTGTTATTATAGCCACTTTGATATCCTTCTTGACCACCTCGACCTCTATAGTTGGACCATTTTTGAGTAAGTTGTTCAGTAACTTGCAATTCTTCTTTGTATGACTCTCCATGATTGCTTATCAATTCCTCATCAAGTAATTTATCATAGAGGTTCTCGAAAGAGAGAGGAGTATCACGAACGTGAACTGTTGCTGTCAATTCTTTAAACTCATCGCCCAAGCCATTTAAAGTGTAGGACATGCTTTGAGCATCGTTTAGGGAGTGCCCAATGAGAGCTAGATCATCAAAAAGGCCTTTAACCTTGCTTATATAGGCCGTCACGATTTTTCCTTCCTTCTTGTTTGACACAAGGAAGGACATAATAGAAAGCATTCAGGTATTTGAACAATTAGTGTAACTAGTTTCTAATTTATTCCAGACATCTACAGATGTGGTGAAATTGTTTATCGTTGGGCTGATTGCGCTGTTGATAGTGACCTGAATGCCAAGGAGCACAAGACAATTCTGACGAGTCCAGAGGAGATATCCTTGGTCAGCTTTTGATGGACATGGATGAGTCCCATCAACGAAACCAAGGAGTCCATAACCAAACAGGAGATTTGTCATTTGGGCCTTCCAAGATGCATAATTTCCGCCATTCTTTGCAAGCTTAAATGGAATCTGAGAAGAGGCATTAAGAGATATCATATTTCCATTGGTAGGGAGAAGACTACTTTGAGTCGTGGTGTTCACAGGTGTTGAGGGAAACATTGGTTCAGGAACAGTTTCTAAAGCTATTTGGTGTTCACAGGTGTTGAGGGAAACATTGGTTCAGGAACAGTTTCTAAAGCTATTTGTGTTCCGGAGGATTCTTGAGTTTTTTCCATTGTAAAAGGCATGGCTGGGTTTGTAGCAAGATCAGACTCTGTTCAGTTGACAGAGAGCTTTGATGCCATAAACAATTTAGGTGAAAGAATGCAATGCCTATAAACAATTGGTAAGTATCAATATATATAGTAGACTGACCATACAATCCCATTATTCTAGGCTATACAATAAGAAAAAAAGCCCCCGTTTGGTCCCATTGTTGCCAAATTTTAATGGTTAGAATATTATTTTTTTTAAAAATTTGTGGTTAAAAAAGAATGATTTTTTTTTATTTGCGTATAATATTATTTTATGTAAGATTGTGTGGTTGAAAATAAGAGAGAGAAAAATAATTAGTAGGAGAATGGGAGCCAAACGAGGGCTAAATCGCCTAAATAAGGAGAGAATTACATAGAATAAAGATTAAGGGAATGGTAAATTTTTCCATAAATGAGCACTAATTGTGTGCTCAATCGAAATGTGACATGAATGAAAAAAAGTAATTTTTTTTTAAAATTTTAATAGAGATAGATAGAGTGGGATAAATATATAACAATTGTACTTGTAAATGCTACAATGTTCTAGCTTCTGATTTGAAAATTGAAAAGACTAATTAAGATCTGGATTAATTAGTTAGACGAAACCATGAATGATTGACGTACAATCTCATTCAGTACCAACTTAACAAATATCTTGAAAAATAGAACACAAATTTACTAAAAATGATGATTCCATGCCACTATATGAACACTTGGGGAAGTTAAATATGCAGCAGCACACTGTCAATATAGAGAAGCATCAAATGATCAAAATGGTAAATGCAAAATAAAGCAAGTTCAGAATTCAGACTAATCCATAAAAGATACAATGTAATTACTTCTCATTAAGGTTCTAAATTATTCGAATATTTGGTTAAAAGGGTTTCACTGCGAAGTGGAAGGCCTGAATTTAATTCCATTTAAGCATCTAGAAACATAGTCCCTGGCAAGGGACTGGAGATCACCATCTTCAAGTCCCTCATCAACTGCATTACAAAAGCTTGCCATTTCTGTTGATGTTTCCTCGGACTGGGAGGTATCGAAATGAGTCATTATGTTAGAACTGCACACCAACCCCGATGAGGACTGAATGTTGGAAGAGGAAAGACTTGGTGGTTGAGGAGGTGGTGGTGGAGGAAGCCGGTGCAAAGTTGATATGCGAGCTTGAATGTACGCCAACTCCGCCTGCAAATTAACAACCTAAAACCATAACAAGATTAATATCACCGTGTCTAATATCTCATTTAAAACTTTAAAAGTTTAAGTTGTTAGAAAATAAAGAAACTTCTAAATTATGTTTAATATAAATTAAAAAAAGTCTTTCAGGGTTTTGATCAAATATAATAAATTAACAACCTAATTAATAAAATTTTAAATTAAATGATACATTGGCTTTAGTCAACGATATTTAACCCCAGGACTAAAAATTAGATTTTTAATTAATTTTGATTGAAGTCAATGAAATATGTCTTTAAAAGCTTAAAAGCTGTGAGTTCAATAAAAAATGTGGTTAAAATTAATTAATAACTTTGATTTAGATTAAGTTCCCGTTCGTTTACTATTTTTTTCTCATTAAAATAAAAAATATGATCGTTATCCATCACATCAAGCCATCAAATTTGAATTTCTATCTTTTGTTTTGTATGAGGCCTGTAACTGCTATATTTTTCATTCTCATTTTTACAAAAATGGGAAATAAACGGAACCTAAAATCCACTCCCCTATCAAATAAGATCTTACACTAGTTCTTTAGAAAGAAATATAACTTGGCTAAATACAGAATTATATTTGTATATTAAATTAATTTCAAGTTTGAGCTACTAGAAAGTACCAATTTAACTTACAAGTAATCTTTTAGCTAAGCTAACTAGCCCTTAAAATTTCATAATTAAATAAACAAAGCGCAAATTGTGTATTGGAATGCTAAGTTAGTCCCATTTAGTCAACTTTCTATCATCTCTATGATTGTAAAGTCAAGTCAATTTCAAATTAATATTGGTATCTTACCTAATTAAAGGCAACACGCCATTGAAGTTTATCTGTCAATTATGGATAACAGTGTGAAATTGTATTCAATTTTTAAAATAAGTCGTTTTGAAATCATAAATAATTATTATCAAAACCAGCAAAAATATAAACAACAATTAAAAATAACAAAATGACTTTCGTTCCCAATATAATTGGAAATTGGCAGAACGATCTAAAGTAACATACTACAACGTGACAAACTTAATGTTAATTTTGATTTACGTCGTACTTGTATTAAAGAGAGAACATTTTTAATTTCCTATTGTTGCTAATGTATCATGGTGCCGAATAAAGTAAATAAATTCTTAATAACTAAACATACTAAGAGCTTATTTTTTAAATTTATTTATAGAGAATATCAATGACGATCACCAAATAAAAAATAAATAAAATCTTATTATAAATTATATATTTCACTAATATTAATATAAAACTCAAAATTGTGAATGAGCTAGAAAGTTAAAACATCAATCATTTGAATATTTCGAGTGCATAGAGTTACTTGGTGACTCCAACAAGCAACAAGTATGCAAACTATGAAAGTAAATTAGCTTGTAATTATTAATGTCAACTTCCATAAACAAAATTAAAAATAGATATTTTGACACTTTGTAAAAGAAAGATTAAGAAATTTTCTTCATCGTTTTAATTTAATAATTTCCTTACTAAGCTAACTTCGGACCCAAAATTCAGGATCATCACACCACAATTTCTGCACATATTCAAATCAAAAATTATATTTATGTGACTTCTCTTTAAGAAAGACGAATATGTTCCTTACTTCTCTATCTTGGTGCATGTTGGCCAAGGTACGAGATATACGACCTCAAAGTGCAGTAGTCAAACGTGTTCGAAAAAATTACCATGCAGTTTGTATTCATTCCAGCAGGGACAGAAGCAGTGCAAGTCGAAATTTCCTTTAATTTTACCATTTTTTTTCTTCTTGTTCATATCTTAATGTAATAAAAGATGGGGGATTGCCGTTAAATTTGGTTTATATGGGGGTTAGGGGGTGGGGATGCATCCATACCTGTTGCTGAAGAGTAAAGATATGGCCAACGCAACCATAGACAGGATCCTTAACCCTAGCAAGAGCCTCATAACAAAGAGTAACCACGGCGTCGAGGCGTTTGTGCGGCGGAATTCTGAGAAGCATTTTGGAAGCATTGCTGGCTCCGAACACCTTGTGCACGGCGGCGAAGTGAGCGGTGCCTTGGTCCGAGTCAAAATATGGTGCAAAAATGCAACCCTTTACACACTTCCTTCTAAGGAACTTGCAGGCACCACAAGGTCCACCACCACTCCCATTCTGACCACCACTCATCACTAAGATTTTCTGGTTTTCCATAACTTTGCTTTGTGGGAGCAGAAAATGGCGAATTAAAGATTTGGAGAGAGAGAGAGAGATAGAGAGAGTTTTTTTCGCTATTTGGCTTTGTTAATTACTAGCTTATTGTGACATAAAAGAAATTGAGGAAACTTTTGGTCGTGGGTCAGATGATTGTTATAGTCTTCTAGATAGCCCCTAAGAACTTTTAGTCTATAAATAACTGACCCATTAATGGAGTTAATATTTGTTGCTAATTTATACTGTACAGCGCTGGTAGGAAATCGTTATTTTATTATTTTAGCCGTCATTTTTAATTCTTCTCTTACAGGTACGATCCATTTTATTTTTAACGGTCAAAAAATCAATTATCAAAATCTCCACCAAACTAGCTCATTTGTTGTTCATACAATTATAAATTAATATAATTAAATGTTCTAATGGTCACTGGATTTAAGTCTATAACTTTGATTGGTCACTGAAATTTAGTTTTGGTTAAATTTCAGTAACTGAATTTAGATTCATGTCTTTGATTACTCATTGAAATTTAAAATGTCGAATTTTAACCACTGAACTTTGAAAAACGCTATATGTTACTCACTAACATAAATATTGAATTTTGAAAAATATCGAATTTATAATGAATAATGTACAACATTTTTCAAAATTCAAGAGCCAAATTTTGATATTTTAAATTTCAATGAGCAATCTAAGATATGAACTTAAGTTCAGTGATTAAAATTAGACATTTTAAATTTTAGTGACCAATCAAAGATATGGACTTAAATTCAGTTACCATTGGAACAATTAACTCAAATTAATACATTGTGAAAATCTAAAATTAAGTTGAGGTTAAAAAATTAAAATTGGTGACAACTTTAATATTTCATGATGTGTCAATTTATAATTAGGTGGACAACAATTAAGATAGCAAAAATCGATAGTAGATCTCAACTCAAAATAATGCACTTCCTCTTGCAACTTAAGCCAGTTTGGCGGTTTTTAAACTTAAAATTATGTTTTGAATGGTATTTTTCGAAAAATATATGATTAAAAAATAAGAAAATTTTTTGAATTTATGTGTAGAATATTGTATTGTGTGAATGTGAAATTGAAAATGAGTATGAAAAATGAATTAAAGTAAATTAAAAGCAATCAAACGGGAGCTAAATACTAAACATTATTTTCTAGTTTAGCCCCCGTTTGGCCCTTATTTTTTGGAAATGAAAATGAGTGGAATAATATTTTTTTTAAAATGAGTGGTTGAAAAAGAAAGATAAGTTTTCAATTTACGTGTAATATTATTTTATAAAAGATTGCGTAGTTGCAAATACGAGAGGGAAAAATAAAATGTAATTTAACGGTGTTAAACGGGGTTTAAATTTTATCATTGAATATATATTTTTTGTGAATGTTAAGTATTATTTGTAAACGATAAAATTTCGTTTTCAACCACATATTTCGATAAATTTATAAGTATTATTTACTCATTCATCACTCATTTCTGTCTATTTATATATAAATCATTTATAAATTCTTTCCAAAGGAAAGAATTGTTTGAGCTCCATTATTCTAAATTTTTTTTTTAAATTCATTTTCAACCACACATTATTTAATAAAATAATATTACACATAAATTCAAATTTTTTTTTCTTAATTTCTAACTACACATTCTATATCAATTTACTATTCAAAATGCTCCCCCCCCCCCCCCCCCCCCCCCCAAAAAAAATGGGACTCAAACAAGTGGTTAAAATATTTATTGTTTACTTGTTCTTATTTCGATTATTTCAATTCATTAATAATTGTTATTTTGTTCGAGACTTAATATTAGGTAATGCTAACATTTTATTATTCTCGAAAAGGCAATTTAAAATCTTTTTGGGTGTTCCAAATGCTTCAAGGCCCATCTAGCAGAGCTTATGAAAAATTAATTATTTTAAACAAAAAATCTATTTAAAAAATTTCTTTTTTTAATGTTTTGAAAATACTTATTTTAGAGAAAAACTGGTTCAATGTAGCTTTCTATAAAACTATTCTATAAGAAGAAAAAATAATATCAAATGGTCCTTTAATATCTATTTTTAAATTTTAACGAGATAGTTATGGTCAATCATTATTTTGTTTCAAACAAGCGTTAGAACGACCTAGAGACACTTCCAAAATGCATTTTTCTTTAAGAGAAGCCCTTGTTTGGGCTCCATTTAATCCAAAATGAATTTTCTTTATTTTTTTTTAACCACATATTCTCCAAAAAATAAAATTATACTTAAATCTAAATTTTTTTAACTACGTATTTTTCGAAAATCACTATTCTAAAATATGTTATTTCTCAAAATCACATTTAATGGAGCCCAAAGAGGATCATAAAATTGAAGATGGGATTTTCGCTTTTTGCATTTTCCTCACTTTCGAGGGATCACCATCTTTCTATGGATCACTGTAGCTTTCACGACATAAGGGTACGATGACTTTATAAATGGTAAAAAGTAGAATCTCAGATCAAAATTATCAACTCAATCACAAAATAAAAAAGTCATTCTTTAAAAAAAATATAGGACAAAAAAATGTAAATATGTTGGAGGTGAGTAAAGATGGCAATTTGGCTTGTCGGCTCGAGCCATCCGTGGCTTAATCCAAAAAACGTTCGAGCTGGCCCGACTGAAGGCTCGAGGTGTCGGGCCGACTAAAAAAGAGGGGAAAGTAGCACACAGCTGTCTATGTTATTAAAAAAATATAAAAAAAAAAATGAGCCAAGTAGGCTCGATAAGGTTTGAGACGAAAGCTCGAATCGAGTCTCAATTTTTGGGTCGAACTTTTGTTCGATTAGCGAGTCAACTCGTTGACATCCATAGGAAATAGGGTGGGTGGGGTAAAGAGCTGAAAGTGGATTTGGTGCAAAGAACAAACTTTAAAGCCACGGCAAAGGTAGATGGAGAAATTGGGGGAGATCAGATTGCGTGAAGCAAACATAGACTGCGGTCACAGTACTACAGCAAATTCAACCGCCATGGACATGGATAACCTCCATCCAGCACGTGCGATCCACTCGTGTGACATGAAACAACCCATCTAATCATCCCCTCCTCTCTTGTCTTTTCCATCACATATTTACTGAGAAACGGAAGGCAATGCTGCCTACGCTGCAACCCTAAAAACCTTCTGCATTCTAAAGGTTAAAGATATTAGCTAGGTATATAACTCTACATTGAAGCGGAAGATAATGAAATAAGATTGAGACAAAATTACTTAAGAGGTAAAAATACTACCACTTGAGAAGATTAATTAAAAATATATATATATTGGAGCACAGAACACAAGTCGTAATAAGACAAAACAAAGCCATAAAAAAATTACTTATTTTAGTTTAGCAAAAAAAAAATATTAAGCCGATGTTTGATTATCTTTAAAACTAAACTCTTTAATTTTCATATTTATTTTTAACTATATATTAGCATAATAAAATATTTTGTACGTAAATTCATAATTTTTTCTTACTTTTTAACCACATCTTCTTTAAAAAATGCATTATTCAAAACACCATTCTTTCAAAATAATGATCATTAAACATGGGCTAAAATTGAATCTTATTAGAATTATAAAGGTCCTTAGAGGATGTTTGGTAAGGATTAATTTAGTAGATTACGATAGAAGCTTTTGAAATGTATGATTAAAAAGTTATGATATCCATGAAAAATGTGATAAATATTGATTATTTGTATTTAATTTAGATTAAAATCAAATTTAATTCGTACCAAACGGGCACTCACTTGATTGATTGAAGAATAAACGGGGGGATTTACTTTACCGAGGAGACATGATTTGTGATTAATCAGTGATCGTTGATCTTCTTTTGTACCAAAATCATTGATGGAGTTGTTGGTTAATTCTAGGATCTATATTTTTATTTTATGTTGCAAACTAAAGCCAATAATTTATAAATAGATAAATAAATAATAGTTAAAAATAGCACCTATTGGAGGGGCGCCGGGATTTGGACAGCACCTAGGTATCTTTTTCTTCTTAAATTATTTAAATATATAGTAAAAAAAATGAAGTTTGATACTTTGTATATGAATTTACAAATTTTACCAAATGGAGGTTAAAAATGAATTTCTTGATGTTAATGTGGTGGTCCCACAATTTTGTTCTAATATTTCGTTGGAAAATTAATATATTAGGAATGCCACGTGGAAAGGAGCTAACTTTTTGTCAAAGGAAATTAATGCATAGACATAGCTTAGCACGGAGTCCAATGTTGAATTTTTTGAACCCTATTTAGCCCCTGCCCATTACCCGAAAATAAAAATTGGGGGAATAATATTTTTTAAAAAAATGAATGGTTGAAAAGAAAAGAAAAATTTTCGATTTACGTATGATATTATTTTATGGAAGATTGAGTAGTTAAAAATATGAGAGAGAAAAATGAAATGTAATGTAATTTAATTTAATAGGGATCAAACAGAGGCTTATAAAATATCTATTTGAAAAAAATGCAAAGCCCTGGAAATGAAATAAGTGGAATAGTATTTTTTTTAAAATTGAGTGGTTGAAAAAAAAGGAAAAATTTTCGATTTATGTGTAATATTATTTTATGTAAGTTCTCTCTTGTCTTTTCCATCACATATTTACTGAGAAACGGAAGGCAATGCTGCCTACGCTGCAACCCTAGAAACCTTCTGCATTCTAAAGTTTAAAGATATTAGCTAGGTATATAACTCTACATTGAAGCGGAAGATAATGAAATAAGATTGAGACAAAATTACTTAACAGGTAAAAATACTACCACTTGAGAAGACTAATTAAAACTATATGTATATTGGAGCACAGAACACAAGTCGTAATAAGACAAAACAAAGCCATAAAAAAATTACTTATTTTACTTTAGCCAAAAAAAAAATATTAAGCCGATGTTTGTTTATCTTTAAAACAAAACTCTTTAATTTTCATATTTATTTTCAACCACATATTCACATAATAAAATATTTTGTACATAAATTCATAATTTTTTCTTGCTTTTTAATTACATCTTCTTTAAAAAATGCATTATTCAAAACACCATTCTTTGAAAATAATGATCTTGAAACATGGGCTAAAATTGAATCTTATTAGAATTATAAAGTTGTTCAGAGGATGTTTGGTAGGGATTAATTTTAAATTTTTTAATAGATTGTAATATAAGTTTTT